AGAGAAGAGAAACTTTCACATCCGGGCTTTGAGAGAGCTCTCAGTGGTTCTCAGACTAAAGTCAGAGTGGGCCCGTAAGGCCACCACATCACACCTCCAGAGCGGGTAATGGAAGGAAAACACCTAACGTGCTGTTTTCAGAGGACCCACCCTCAGACCTAAACGCAGTTTTGTATACCAACCACATCCCTGAGGTTAAAGAAGCCCACATTCTCACATCAGTTTTTCCAGTCAGGACCTAGGAGGTATGAAATACATGTTGGGTTAAAAAAATAAATTTGATCTATAGTGAAAAGTAAAAACACAAGTGTATTCCCAGGTTAAATCTTTGATCTCAAAACCAGGCATGTGGCACACTCACATAATCCTAGCACTTGGGAGGCTGAAGTAGGAGAATCGTTTGCAAGTTCAAGACCAATCTGTGCTACAAAGTGAGCTCAAGGCCAATCTGAACTGCATAGTGAGACCTTGTCTCAAAAAGACGAAAAAAAAAAGATCCTTGCTCTCTTCTCCACTCCTGCTCCGTTCTCCTGCTGCCCACTCCTCCCATCTCCTGCTGCCAGGTGCAGCCCTGACATTAATGCTGACTGTCTACTGTGTTCCCTGGGAAGTTTCACCTGTTATACAAGAACTCCAAGGCTATCTCTCCTACTGTAAGTTACTCTTCATCTACCAGCTTTTCCTATCACATTCAGAATCAGAAAATCAAGCCCTTCTCTCCCCAACATGACACTTCCTTTCACCTGATGTATCATGGATAAAATGTCCTTTATGTCCCTTCCAAGTAAAAGTGCATTACTAGAACAACCAGTAGTAAACAGTAAAGGACAATCAAGTTGCCCTCAAAAATCTCTATACCACTGCAGAAGCGTCTGCCTCAGCAGGATTCATGACAGTAACACAATGCTCAGATCCCATTACTGGACCTCCTGTTCCTTGGGAATAGGAAAAATCAAGACACTTATGTAGAACTTAGTCATGTACTCATAGGTAAAGAAATAAAAGGAAAGGAACAAGCCACTCTGTGACTACTCTACAAACCCCCTAAATGCATACAAGAGGTTCTGGAATGTGGAAGTCATTTGTGGCCACAAACCCTGTTGCTGCAGGTGGACACAGAAGAAATCAGCCAACACCTCTTTTCCCTCATCAGCTTCTGTAATCAAACGAAAAATTTAAACTACCCCACCTCCTAAAGAAAAATGACATAGTAATAATAATTGATCCTCTTCATAGGCTATGGCAGCCCTGGCATTGCCCCATTTCTCCAAAAACTGCTCTTTTTGGTACTCCTCCCTAAAAAAAAAAAAACTCTTGGTTTTACATAAGTCAAAAATGGGCACTATTCATCACTAATAAACCTAAGGTAAATATAACAATGTGTTTGTATAACAAAGGCTATGGTATAAAATGAAATCAGAAAAAAAAATCCCTGACATCGCCTTTAACCCCTGCCCCACTCTAAGAAATGCCACAAAAGTCTCACCAATTGATTCAAGCAGATGGGTTAAAAGTAAGTAAAGATGCATCTTAGCAATTTCACTGTGTTTTCTGTTTAATCATTTTTCAAAAATGAAGTATACACATGCAAGTATATAGTCTGCCTGCCATACTCAAGACCCTGGGGGGCTCAATCCTCATCGTCACCATCAAAAATAGAAGTGTATATAGTCATTTTTCTCCTATTTTTTCCTTTCCTTCTATTCCTTACAGACATAAATTATAACTGAAGAATTGATTTAAAAGGTTTTTATGATCTGGCCTGGCACTTAAATGCTCCTAGTTCCACCACCAAACACATTTGGGACTATCTTATTGCCAAACATGTTTAACAATTTACTAACTTTCAAAGCCAGAAATGGAGGCACATGCCTGTAATCCTAGGGTTGCTACAATTTCACAGCCATCCTAGGGTATATAACAAGTTCAAGGACAACCTAAACTATATACCAAGATCCTGTCTCAAAACAACATCATCAAAGAAACACAATTTACTAACTTTCAGAATCTAAACATTCAAATTTAGAATGTAGTCCCTGCCTATATTTTAAGAAGGAAATTTTAAACTACGAATAAAAATCAAGCCAAGACAGGGGCCAGGGAGACATAACCCAAACATAGTAAAATGAGTCAGACAGCTGTGTAAAACACTAGTCTTGAGATTTCAACACTAACTCTTTTTGTAAGTATTAGAGATGGACCCAGGGCCTCATGTACGCTAGGCAATTGCTTCACCATTGAGTTACATCCCCAGCCCTCAATATTCTTAAAAGAAGACAATTTATCAGTTAGAAACATCTTAGAAAATTAGAAAAAATATAAAAACACAGGAGATAACTGCATCTGTACAACAATCCAACACTTTACATATTATTCTGCAGAAAAAAAATCACATTTAAAGCTCCAACTTTTAAAAAATGCAGCCCAGTCATGTGCCTCGAGGGGCAGATTACTTTCTTGACTATTGAGGTCAGGAAAAATCTTCCTCCTAGAATGGTTCTGATTGGCAGGACCTTTCTGAGAAAAGACAGCTGAGTTAAGGGAGGCTTGTGGTCATTTTATGTCAACAGCTAAAATAAATTGTTTCTTCTCTCTGACTACTTATTTTTTCTTTTTTCCTGGTTTTTTTTTGTTTTTGCTTTTGTTAATCCCTATTACTATACCACACCTGTTATCCTCCAAATCTATGTTCCTCTCAATTAAAAATAAAAAACAGTTGGGTTTCTGATGCAACTCAATTGAATATGTCTATCATGGTTTGTTTTTTTTTTTTTTTAACAGCACTTGTCAACTTAAAATTATAGACGACTTGAAGCTGCCAGTATTCATTTCATTTGGCTACTAGCATAGTCCGGATGTTTAACCTACAAAAGATAAAGTGACAAAATGTTGTAGGAATCAAAAAGCTCTTATTTTTACTTTTAAAATCTACCTCTAAAAAGTAAGATAAAAATCCACCCCAGTTTGTTTACTTACAAAAAGTACATGTTTATTCTATAAGATCAATAAAGAGAAACAAAACAAAACAAAAAGTCCTACATGCTTTAAAAGTAAGCCATAAACTTTGTCATAGAACATGTTTACCATGATTAAAAGACATAAGCCACAAACAAATTTAGCAACAACTATTAGATATCATGACCTTTGGCACTGGCATTTTCCAGAATCGGTTCAGGTAACACTGGTAAAGATGGCAGAAGTAATCTAATCCCTCAATGCCCATGTCCCAAACTTCTGAAATAACCTCAGCAGAAGCAACATCTTTCTAGCTACTTTTAAGGAACCAATGCAATCTTTCAAAAGCACTAGTATACCAGTTGGCATAATGGCACACACCTGTAACCCCAGCACTTGGAAGCTTCGTCAGAACAGTCACTGTGTATTCAGGGCCAGCTTAGGCTAAAAAGTGAGGTCAGGTCTAGACAAAACTGCATAGCGAAACCCTTTTGAAGTAAAAAGAGACACAGACAGACAGAGACAGAGACAAGGAAAGGAAGAAAGAGTGCACCAAAATAATCAATCAATAGATGAGGAAGAGTTTCAGAGCAAGTCAGTCAATTATAACAGCAAACACACTGAGAGAAACCTTGAGAGTAATGTGCTCATAGTTCAGAATGAAAAAGAAAGATGAACACAGCCTCATCAAAATCATCCACCTTTAAGAGGAACCACATAAAAAGTAGCTGTTTTTTAATTGTAAACACTACATGTGTGTTTTCCCATTCAAGACATGGCCCTCCCAACCAATATGCCTGGTTCTACCATGTGGTAGCACAAAGAATGAAGAGAAGTTATCAAACAATCCCTAAAAAAATGTAGGAAATCAGTAGCTTATAGATCACCCAATTACAAACAGCTTACCAAATTCCTTCACTTTGTCTTTGAAATGATGCTATAGTTTGTGTCTGGATGTCCCCCCAAAGCCTCATACTCTTTTAGATGGGGCTTTTTCCGAGGCAGCTGAATCTAGAGTTTGTAACTCACAGTCTAGGGCTGGGATGAAGGGTGCGTGACTGTGGATCACTCCATGATTGGATCAGCACCACCCGAAGCCCAGTAGTCTAGAGAAGATGAAAGAGCTTGTTTCTCCCTCTTTTGCTCTCCTTGCTTTTGCTGTCTTCTACCACCATAAACTGCTGCCCTCTGTCATGTGCCACCCTGCCTTGTAGCCAGCCAATTATGGACTGAAGCCTCTACAATCTGTGAGCTAAATAAACCTTTCCCCCTTTAACTTTGGGTGTCAGGTATTTTGTCTCGGCAATGAGAAAAGTAACTAAGACAAACAGGAATGCACCACAATGCCTTCATGATACAGTAATGGAAAAGAGAGGCTAACACTAACAATTGAGGGAGGCGGCTGTCAATATTTCAACCCTGAAAAGAAAAGAGTCCTTCAACAAAATTATTTCCTGACATCAGTTTAAACTATGGTAGGGAGTAGTTTAGTGCAAAGGGAACAAATTAAGTGGAATAAAAAACCTGAGTACTTTAAACTATTTGGAAATTTCATACCTGTCTCACTGTCATGAATTCCCCCCATAAAAATGTTTAACTAGTAAAATGTAATACTACATAGGTTATTAAATCTTTAAGAAATAAAATCAAGATTCAGAATTAGGCCTTTTCTACTTCCTTTCTCAGCCACTTGCCTTCTAATAGGACAAACTTGGCAGGGACATAGAACATAGCCAGACACTGCAATGAATAAGGAAGGTCTAAATGAACAAACCTTGGCATTTATAAATGAAGCAGTCTTTTAAAAACCAAACAGCTAAAAAACAGAAGCTAAATAATGTTCCCTTAAGAAAGAACTTCCCAATTTAAAAAATGAAATACAATTCTCAGGGATCATAAGGCAGTATTCTGAATTAGTATCTTTCAAATCAAACTGAGAAACTTTGACTGCAGTTCAAAAAGAAAAACACAATGGTGTACATACCCCCCATATACAGCTCTTCAGCAGTTTTAAAATGCATATTATAATATGTGTAGTTACTTACTTGCTTTCTTCTGTAATGAGCAAACTGAGAGAGTCCTAAGACAGTGGCAAGAGCACCTCCTCCAACAAGAACAGTCCCTTTGGCCGCCTTGTAAAATGCCATTTCTTAGCCTACCAAGGAAACAGAAAAAAAAGTTAATTGGGGTTTTTTTAATTATAAAATAATCCAAATAATAAAAAGATTCTGTAGATTGTGAAACTATGTTAAACTAGAAAAGGAAACAGAAAACAAGGAAGTTACAAGCATGCCAACTTGTACAGAGAATTCAAACGCAATAACCAAAAAAACCTAGACAAGGGAATTGATTATGTAAAGCTATATTCAGATCCAAAAGGAACTAAAGAAAGAACAGCAAATTAAGAGACAACTAAAGATATTTAAACAGCATAAGGTCAAGAGAAATGTGGAAAGAAATGTCACTGGTGTATTTGACAAAACGCATGCTGTACTTGCCGACTTGTTTAACAGCTACTAATCCCCTCCACAAAGAGAACTGGTACAATTACTGAGTCACTCGGCATGACAATAAACTCCAGGCCGGCTTCAGGTTCTCTGGCATGTGCTTAACTCAAATTGTGGCACAAATAACTTCTTGAGGGATTTCCCTTGTTAATGAAGTTGCCACTAGAGCTAAACCCAACACATTTCTATCACTCTGAGTCTTATGCTTTGCAAACAGAAAAAGCCAGCTAGGAAGTCGGCAGATACCATGCCTTAATCTCTCACAAGCTGATGAACTTAGCCCATTATAATTCATCAAGAGAACCTCAAAAATTTTCTTCTAGCCAATTGTGTGACATATTTTAAGAGAATACTTCCCTGATCGAGCCCTGTTTCATTGTTCACTTTGTATTTCTTAAGTTCTATGTCAGAATTAGAAAAAACAATCCTGAAAGTCATCTGGAACTAGAAGAGACCTAGAATAGCAAAGGCAATCCTGGGCAACAAAGACAAGACAGAGGGCATCACAATCTCTGACTTGAAACTATACTATAAAGCAACTGTGATAAGAACAGTGTGGTACTGGTCAAAAAAAAAAAAAAAAAAAAAAAAAAAACAGATCCAAAGATCAGTGAAACAGATTAGAAGAGGAGGAAACAACTCCAGACACGCTAAGCCACCCCATCTTTGACAAAGGTGCCAAACACATTCACTCAAACAAAATAGCTTCTTTAATAAATGGTGCTGGAAAAACTTGCTCTACACATGCCGAAGATTAAAACTAGACCCATGTATTAAGCTAAAATCACCATATATTAAGCTAAAATCAGAATAGGTCAAAGATCTTAATATTAAAAACATTAAATCTGCTGGAAGACAGAGTAGGTAAAACTCTTGAAGACACTGGTGTAGGCAAAGAAATTATGAACAAAAATCTGATTGCACAAGAACTATCACAACGAATCAACAACTGGGATCTCACCCTGTTGAAAAGCTTTTGCACAGCAACAGAAACCACTAACAGAGTGAAGAGACAACGTAGGAGAAAATGTTTGCCAGCTGTACCTCAGACAAAGGATTACTATCAAGAACATATGAAGAACTCAAATAAATCATCCCCCCAGATTTAAAGACACAATCCAAAAGTGGGCATCTGAAATGAACACACACTTCTCAGATGATGAAATATAAAACAGGAAATAAATACCTGAAAAAATATTCAACATTGGGTCTGGGGATTTAGCTCAGTGGCATAAGCGCCTGCCTTGTAAGCAGGCAGTCGTGAGTTCAATCCCTGGTACCAATAAAAAGGAAAAAGACAAAAAAAAAAAAAATATTCAACATCATTCGTCATTCGAGAAATGCAAATTAAAACAACACTAAAATTTCACCTCATCCCAGAAAGGATGGCCAGTATCAAGAAATCAACCAATAACAAATGCTGGAGAGGTGTGAGGAAAACAAACCCCTTCTCCACTGTTGGTGGGAATATGGACTGGTGCAACCACTGTGGACATCAGTTTGGAGATTCCTCAAAAAATTAGAATTGGAGGTCCATTCAACCCAGCTGTTTTCCTTCTGAGTTTCTTCCCAAAAGAATTAAAAACATCATACTACAATGATATATGTGCACCCATGTTTATAGCAGCACAATTTGTAATAGCCAGATCTTGGACAAAACCTAAATGCCCACTGACTGAGGAAAGAATAAAAAAGAATGTGTTTTTATACAATGGAGTACTTCTCAACCATAAAGAATGAGAAACTGGACACTTTTATAGGTGGATGGATGCATCTTTAAAACAGACCCATTATTAGTGAAGTAAATAAGACACATGTGTAACTATCGTATTGTTTCATTAGTGTTGCAAGCTGAAAGAAAAAGCATGCACATGTGTATGTATATGTAAATAAAAAATAGTTAAAGATAGCTATACTACTGATTTCTCTTGAGTTCACTGAAAAGAAAGATATGTAGTGGTACTGTTTGGACAACTGAATGCAGATGTCTTGTGCTCTGAGTGCATGATTTGGGAATGACAACGCACAATGTATGTACCATTGTGGTCCTGACTGACATGCTCTGAAATTTTGTTTGTGTTTTTTTTTTCCTTTTCCTTCTTTTTTTTTTTTTTCCTTTCTTTTTACCCTTGAATAAAATGGATTTGAAATAAATAAATAAATACAGCCAGGGAGTTAGCTCAGTTGTGTAAGCATCTGCTTGGCAAGCTCAAGGTCATGAGTTAGATCCCAGCACCCAAAGAAAGAAAGAAAGAAAGAAAGTTAGTTCTATGTCATGTTATCTCTTTTATTCTCCTTTGTTTTCCACTACTGGACTGATTAAATTTTTTAAACCTTTTGAATACTTAAAATTACTAACTTCTTTAGAAATTAAAAAAATTCACAGAAATAAAAATTCCACCAAAAATATTCTTATTTACCTTTATTCTGTTAAACAGAAAAAAGAAACTGTGATCACATTAAAAAAAAATTCTGACCTGGACTGAGTAATCTGACCCACCTAAAAGTCTTCTTCCACTTAGCTAAAGTAGTTGGCACACCCTACATTTTCTAGGTAAGCCATCAACTACTCTATTTCCCTTGTGACTGGAGATCAGACCTGTCTGAACAACATACCTTATGCTCCATCCATAAATTCAAGCAATTCTATGAAGGCAGTTTCCATGAACGATACCAAAAATAATATATTACATATCAATGTAAATTAGGATAGTTACATATCTGGTTCCATAATGGATGTGTAATATCTATTATCATATTATCCTAAATTAATCTTAAATTATTATTATCCTATCCTAAATTTTCAGTATAGTTGTTAACTATGATTCTACAGAAAATTCACTAAAATACTGTAAATTATACACTAAAAAAGGTTGGCATTTTTTTTTTAGTTTTTTCTTCTGATTTCATTCTTTGCAAACTCCAAAATTCTAAAATGGCTTTTTTACTAAGATTCTTACTAGGAAGATTTTTCACATGCATACTCTGCTACTCCAGGCCTCGTCTTCTTTTTGTTTTTTTGTTTGTTTTTAAGAGGCTAAAACTAACTAAAATAAAACAATAAAAGCAATCAAAACAAACCAGTGTAAGTGATACAGGACTTCAAAACAACAGAAAATCAACAATAGTTACTATAATGCCTCTTACTGTCTTCAAAAAAGCTACCCATACCTTCAGACATAGTAAAAATCAAACAAAACAGAACAGAATAGAACCAAAACACACAAATAATGAATGCAATAAAGGACTTGAAAACAAGACAATAGTGAGTCCAAAATGGCTACCATAACACACCTTGCTATCTTTGATATAGCTGCCCATGCCATCGGATATAACAAAATCAAACAAAACAAAAGAGAACAAAACTCAAACCAACAAAACAACGAAAATGATACAGGACTCCAAAACAAGACAGTAGGAAATTAACAATGGCTACCACCCGCAGAAGGAGATCCTCCCAGATGCCACACTATGCCCTGCCATCCCCTGAACAGCCAACCAGACCACTGGCCCCAGATCCACACAGTCAGTGAAACATCAAATTCCACAAACATCAAATTGCATTTCACCTCAATAGCTATCATCACAGCCTGTGTGCCTCTGTATCAGCCAGTCACTTACAGGAGCTGGGGGGAGAAGGGGAGATGGCTCTTCTTGCTTGCCAGCCCATACCACACTGCACCAGAAGGGGCTGGGGTCTGGCTGTCCCCAACCTGGCAGAAGTCCACATATGGCACTGGTTCACAGTGTGGGGGCTTGCTTCTTGATGAGTCTTTGGTCTCTTCCCTTGCAGTCCGTGAATACGTAGTCTGCTCCTTCTCTACATACTCTACATAATCATTTCCCAAGTTGTGCAAGACACTAGTGAATGGTAACTAGGGACTTGATTCATCACTAAGTCAACTCTAAGGACAATCTTATATCCTAGGCTACTCAGACAGTAAAAAATCAGAGTTTAGCGGCATCCATTTGTCATCCATCACCATTCAAGGTACTGCTATAAACATTCACTTGGGTGCCTGTAACACAACACTGCAAACAACAGCAGCCTGGAGTTAGCATGCTATCTCAAAGACAACCGGGGTCTGCTGTCAACTGGGGACAGACAATAGTGTTAGTTCTATTTACCTAAGTATGCGTGGGCTTATCCCTGGACAACAGCCTGGTGATCTGCTGCATGAGAATGTTGGGTCTGATTGACTTTAGTATCATCCTTTCTGTCTTGTAGATAATGTCATTGATGACATCACAAAGGATACCACACATCAGCATGAGCAACTGAGAGCTGTTACATATAATAAAGTAGTTAATGAAAATGTCTGTGTTAGACATGCCCGTTCATCCAGTTAATTCTGGATCTAGTTTTTCCAAAAATGTTTATTTCCTACTTACCTAATCACATTGTTTTCATTTGATTTGTCTGAGAGGGTATATTTTTCTGTATTTTTTCAAAAAGCCACCGATACTAATGAAAAATTACATTCACATATTATCCGTTATCAATAATACTGACTATAACCATTTTCTTTTTTAATAATTTCATAAAGTAACATACTTAAGTGCTCATTTCTATTTCTATCGTGGTCAAATCCTGTACTATCATATAACTTAACTAATAAACAAACCACTTTCACAGGTAATTCAAAAA